ACACTCTGATGTCAGCTTGGCAGTGGGCTGCTGGTTATTAGACCCTGCCAAATACTTTCACACCCAGCACAGTGAACCTTTGTGTCAAATAGTGAGTAGCTGCTAGTATTACCCCTCTGCTAAAGACATAGAACTCAGAGCTCAGAGAGGTTCGGGCCCCTGCCCAAGGTCACACAGCTCAAAACTACCGAGCTGAGAGTCCCACCCTGCTGTGTCTGACTCTGCAGCTGGAACACCTAAGCTGACCAGCTTTGCCTCCTGAAAGAGAAACACCCGTCAGGAGTTGCCGTCTCCTGCACTGGATTTTTAAAAAACCAAAGTAAAGCAGAAAAACCCATTTTGGGGGCACTCACCTCTCTCTTCTTATCTCTTCAGCAGTCCTCTTCTGCCTACTCTCTTACTTGCTCTCTCCTTGTTTCCTTTCTTTTCGTTTTTTCTCTTTCTTTCTTCCTCCCCTCCTCCCCTCTTTTACTTTTAACTAAGCACTCAGTTAACAAGTTAGCTTTGTGAAGCTCGGGTCGGTACCTGGTGACTGCGAGCGCGATAAAGAAATCAGCCGCCGCCGATACAGAAGTCAGAAAGGTTTAAATCAAACCATCCTCCACAACAATGACATTAATTATGCTTTTAACACGTTTTACTGCTTTTTTTCTCACTTCACGCCACATCTGTGTGAACAATATCCAAAAGATTTACGGTTTTCTTTCGTAATTACAGACATACAGGCTGCACACTTATCAAAATACTTGCTGAGCAATCACGCCATATCGTATTCTCTGCCAAAGATCTGTGCTGGCAGCAGTCATTCAAAACAAAAATGTTGAATCAGGACTTGTGTGGCTTTGGAGGGGGGTGGAAAGTATTTCGACAAATAATTTGCCTGTCAAGAAATATAAAAACAGGAGAGTGTGCATCCTGGCAAATTTTCCAGGAGTGTTATTTTTTTCTGGAGGGGGTTAGAACAGCGTGTGTGTGGGGGGGACAGTGCGCCGGGAAGCTCCCAGCACCAAAAACACATCTGACATTTGGTTCTTGTGTCTGAGGATAAAATTTAATGAGAACAAAAATATGTCTTCCTAATTCCCCTAAGAAATCATTAAAACATTTTGTTATTCTTAAATGTCTCGAAAATGAATTAGAGCCCCTAAAGGGGCCGTTCGAACAGTATGTCTCCATCAGTTAAGGCTCCTTGTTCTCCAACTCAGTGACAGCTAGGGACGTACGTCTCCCCCGCCTCTCCATTTCTGGGGAGCAGAGTTGCGAAATCAGATGCGTGGAGTCAGCACCAGACTTGGAATGACCCCTTTGGGGGGAGGGGCAAGAGGGCACGAGGACCTTCTGGAAAGCTCTGCACCGGTCTTGGGAACTCTCGTAGTCCCTGGCTGGCACTCTGGCCCTGTGATTGTGTTAACCGCCCTATCTAGAGAAAGATGAGGGTTTCACAGTGAACCCTGGAATTAATGACTCTTTTCCAAGCAGGGGCCATAGCCTCTCCTCACTCTCAAGCGCTAGGCTTGCTGGAGCTCCCCTAGGTTCACCATAAGCAATGATTATTCGAGGGATGATCTGGTCACCTGCCAGCGGCATGCAAGCTCCCCGAGGCCTGGGCCCCTGTCTGCATTTGCAGGCTCATGGTTAGGTTCTCAGTGTCTAGCAAGTGCCAGGCACACAGCAGGCACTTAATAAATGCACTTAAATAAATGTAAATAAACACGTGATAGACAGAGGGCTCCAGGTGAAAGAGCGCCTTGTCATTCAAATAACCCTTCCCCCCATTTCTGCATGTGAGTCTTGTTCTTGTTCATTCAACAACTATTAGGTGCTTACTGTGTACCAGGTTCTGGGTATACAAATTTGATATGACCAGTCAGTCCCAGGCTTAGAGAATTTCACTTCTAGGAAAGCCAGACACATACATGACGACAAGTGTAGCCCAGTCACCAATTTATAAAAGAGGAGGCTGGGGCTCCCAAAGTCAATTAATTCATCTGCAGTCACCCAGCGAGGGAGTGGTCTGAGTAGGACTCCAGCCTGAGCCCCGAATCACAAGCCCGTCTCAGTGCTGCCCCCTGGTGCTACAGGGGAGGTACATGGGGTCTAGGGGAGGAGCCTTGTGTGGAGACTGCTAGGAGACATTTTTGGGGTCTATTGTGGGTCACTTTCCAATGTCACTTGTTGCTGATCTCGTGGGACCTTAAGGACTGAAAAATGATGGTAAATATGAGGGTTTATTTTCCCAATTATTTTTTCCAGATAGCTCTAATGAGGGTAGAGATATAAGCAGAGCATCTGCTACATGCCCAATGTGGTCCTTAGTGAGGGGGACAATGGCCAGGGCTGCAGACATGGCCGTCTTGGCCTCATGGCCCGGGGGCCACGCCTCATGGTGGGCATAGAACCCCAAGGGCTGTACTGTCCAACTCCAGCCACTCTCACTGCCCAAACATCCTCCTTGAGAAGACCCACACAGCACGCTGCCTTCCAGGGAGTGTAGGCCCAGGAGGGTAGGACCAGGGCAAAGAGGATGGAGTGTGCACATCCCTCTGCGGGGGGCTGAACGGGCCCCTGAACATATACCCATGTCCTTATGCCTGGAGCCGGTGAACGTTACCTTATTTGGGAAAAGGGTCTTTGGCAGATGTAACTCAGCTAAGGTCTCTGGAGGAGATCGCCCTGGATTACGGGGTGGGCCCTAAATTCAATGGCTAGTGTTCTTATAAGAGAAAAGAGCTAGAGAGTTGGGACCCAGACATAGGGTGGAGGGAGCCTCGTGAAGACAGAGGCAAAGACCGGAATGACGGGGCCACAGGCAAAGGGACACCTGGAACCACAAGAAGCTGGAAGAGGTAAGGAAGAAGCTTCCCCTAGAATCTTGAGAGGGAGCACAGCCCTGTGGGCACCTTAATTTCGGATTTCCGGCCTCCAGAACTAGGAGACAACAAACATCTGTTGCTTGAAGCCCCCCAGTTTGTGATGACTTGTTACAGGAGCCCCAGAAAACAAACACAGCCTCCCCCGCGCAGCCGAGTTGTGACACGGAGCAGCCACTCTGGACATACCAGCGTGTGTACGGAGACCTGAGCCCCACTCTCCTGGCTGTGAGACCTCAGGCACCAGACTCAGCCTCGGGGTACCCCGTGAAGGGGGCTGGTTGGCCTGTTCCCCTGGGGCTGTAATGTGCAGACGGTGGAGCGGCCTCAATGCCAGGCATGTGCTTTCTAAACCCTGATGCGCTCCCAGAGCTCGGGAGTTTGCCTCTCCCCGTTCCTGGCAGCCTCAAGCCCTCCTTGGCTTGTAGCCCCATCACTCCAGCCTGAGCCAGTCTTCACATGGCCTTCTTCCTGGGTCTCTCTGTGTCCTCTCCTCCTCTTACAAGGACACAAGTCACTGGAGGTAGGATCCACCCTGTATCTGCATGGTCTCATCTTGAGGTCCTTAACTAGTTACACCTGCAAAGACCCTGCTTCCAAAGAAGATCATATTACAAGGTTCAGGGTAGACATGAATTTTGGGAGGACACCACTCAAGCCACTCTAGTCGCCCAAGACAGACGGAATGAGGGACTTCCCCACCCACAAACACAAAGATCCCACAAACGACCTCCACATAGAGTAGAAAGGACTTCGCCTTCTCCATGATTTGGCTTAGCTAGGATTTCATTTTCTTCCTCATAAACCCCAGACCCGGTCACCCAATAGCATTGATCCCTGCGGCTGTGTAGAAGGGCTCCAGAAAGGACCGGGAGTCTGTCCGGGTGGCGGGAGTTGGCAGAGGGTCCCCTCCCAGCCCCACCATTGTAAGCAAATCACTTACACCTCCCTGGGCTCCCGTTTCAGAGTCATGAAATGAGAAGGTGGCAGAGGAGGCGCCATTTTGGAAATGGGAGACTTTTTTACAGACATGTATCTACATATCTTAGGCACACACCTAAGTGTGCTCAAACCGCTCACAGCTCTACAATCCACATCAAGATCAAGAAGCAGCATCTTTGGCCCCCAGAGGTCCCTTCTGGGAACTATTGGCCCTCCAACAGAAACCACTCTCTTGACTTCTAACAGCACAGGTAATTATTTTTTAGTTGAGGTGAAATTCTTAGAACATATAATCTACCATTTTAAAGTGAACAGTTTAGTGGGATCTGGCTCATTCATGAAGTCACATAGCCATCACCCCTATCTAGTCCCAGGGCATTTTCATCCCTCCAGAAGGAGACCCCACACCCATTAGCGATCACCAACCCTCTCCCACCAGTCTGGTATCTATCTGTCTCTTTAGATTTGCCCATTTGGGACATTCCATATAAGTGGAGTCTTGGATTATGTGACCTTGTGTCTGGCTTCTTCCACTCAGCACCGTGATTGTGAGGGCCGTCCCTGCTGTGTGTCAGCATGTGTCAGCAGGTGTCAGCGCGTCTCTCCTTTTTATGGCTGAATCGACCACATTTTATTTATCCATTCATCCATTCATGGACATTTGGGTTTTTTCCCCATTTTGGGCATTGTGAATACTGCCGACAGATTCATCTTTGCTGTCTTCATATTTCATGTAAAGAGAGTCAAGTAAGTATGTGTTCTTTGAGCTGAGGTTGGCTACGCCATGGTGGGGAAACATTTGAGGTCTTTCCTCCAGTGCCCTCAGCTGGCAGACAGCCCTGGGCACCATCTGTCCTTTGTGGCAATGGGATGGGGGTTCTGGCAGGTAAGACACCCGGCTTCCCAAGAAGGTCCAGGTGGGAGATCTTGCCAGGAGTCCCCCAAAGCTTTCCAGCTAACATTGGAAGGTGGTGGGGGAGGATGAACTGTGTGGGGACGTGTCACACCAGGCTGGGTGTGGACCTCTCACTGCCCCCAACAACCCTCACCTGTGGAGGCGTCAGCCTTGCCCAGGAGCCTTCGCTTGTCCCTAGATCCCACTGTGGGGAGGCCCCTGTGTAACGACCAATAATGGCTAGCTCTTCAATGTCATTAATTATCCAGTTATGGAACCCAAATGTATCTTACCTGGTGCTTCAATTAACTGCTTGTAAACACTCAGGAAAGCTGCCTCGGCCTCCTGACTTCTCTTACTAAGGGCCACCACCTTTGGAAACAAGAGAGAGAGTCATGTGTAACCATGGCATCCGAGTCTACAAGGAAATATGATCACTTTCCTACATGTGCAAACATGGGATGGGGGGAGGTGATGGGAAATGAAAGTCAAAAGTATGGAGTTAGAAAGTCCAGGTTCGGGCACCTGGGTGGCTCAGTGGGTTAAAACTCTGCCTTCGGCTCAAGTCATGATCTCAGGGTCCTGGGATCGAGCCCCGCATTGGGCTCTCTGCTCAGCAGGGAGCCTGCTTCCCCCCCCCAACTCTGCCTGCCTCTCTGCCTACTTGTGACCTCTCTCTCTCTCTCTCTGTCAAATAAATAAATAAAATATTGAAAGAAAGAAAGTCCAGGTTCAAATCCTGGCCCCGCTGCATTTTAGCTGTGTGACCTCGGGCACGTCATTGGCCCTCTCTGATCTGACTAAGGTTTCCTCATCTGAAAAATGGGGGAAAAATGAAACCTACCTTCTGGGTCTCTTCTGGGGATGGAATGAAATTGCATGTAAGTGCTTAGCACAGGGCCTGGCACACAGCAGGTTAATAGCTATTATTATTGTTTTTGTTATGAAAGGGTCCTGCTGGAGATCCAGATGTGACACATGTTCTGGGGGAAAGTGGCACACATCTGGGGAATATTTCTTGCCACTGAAAATTACAGAGAACTCGTTAAAGCTCTTGTGAGATGTCAAACAGCTCAACAAATGCTTCCTGGCTGATGAAAACACAAACGGCTCTGTAACCCCATTGTGAAGAGCTACCTTCCTACGTTTGTTCTCTCGCTCACAGACTTTTTCGTTCTGCCAGTGATGTTCCTTAAGATAAGGTGGGCAAGACATTTCTGGGGCTCAGCACCATCTCATCCCTCCCTGTCCTTGGCTAGGAATTCCAAGCTCTGGCTTCACAGCTGCCTTGGTGCTGGCTCTTGGTAGCCAGTTTTCCTGGCATCATCCTGGGCCTCCCCGGCACACGGCTGGTATGAGCTCCTGGTACCTGCAGGTCACCGTCCCTACATCCTCGAGAACACTCTGGGTGGGGTATCTCCCTTTGCACTGGAACATCTTCATTCTCCCTGACAATGATATACCTCTCCCTCTGGTGCCATCTTCTTCAATGATGAATCTATGGGGAGGATCTACGTGTCAATCTCCCTCTTTCAGAGGTGCGCTTCTCTTACCAATCCCAGGGACGCCACTTGGGGGAGTGTCTGTTATCAAATTCCTTCCCTTGACATGAGCTCTGTGAATGCACTGTCTGGTGCACAGAAGGTGCTCAACACAATTTGGGGGATGAGCAAATCTAAGAGGGTTGGTTGCCCCAACTCTAGGTCCTGTTTGTGACACCATTTTGGAGAAATGACAAGGGCCAATTCTGAGATGGTCTATTCAGAGAAGGGCCAACTAAGGCACAAGCCTTGGATCTAGGCCACCTGGGTTCAAATCCCAGGTCCATCACTTACTATCTTTGTGTCTTTGAGCGGACAGGTCATGGCAATCCCTGTGCCTCTACTTCCCCCTCTGTAAAATGCAAATAATAACACCACACCCTCCCTTGCTGGAGGGTCAGATGATTTAACACATACAAAGCCCTTTGTAAATCTTATGGGATACATTAAGCCCCGTATAGGTCACCTCTTGGTATGACCAACCCCTTCCTTCTTGCCTGTTACAGAGACAAGTTCTGTCCAGTGCTGGGTGATAAACCCCAGCTGTGCTTATCTAGCGTCCTACAAAGACCACCTAAGAAAGGCTCCGCCTCCACACCTCGCAGTGCATACTGGGAAGAAGAATGTGAAAACCACAGTGGTTCTTGTAAGGCCTCCAATATGGCAGCCGCAAATCACAGGTGGCTCTTGAGCACTTGAAACGCAGCAAGCACAGATTGAGATGGGCTGGGAGTGCAAAGTGCACACAAGGTTTCAAAGACTTAGCAAGAGAAAAAGAATGGACAACAGCTCATCGTGTATACTGGTTACATATTGAATTGGTAACCTCTTGGATATGCTGGGTCAAATAAAGTCTTTTATTAAAATTCATTTCACCTGTTTCCTTTTACTTATTTTTCAATGTAGATACTACAAACTGTAAAAATACATCCATGGGTCACATTATATTTCTATTGGACAGCATAGCCTGAAGGTTTTATGAGGTCCACAGAGAATTTGTTGTTTAAGAGAGGTGGAGGGAAATGTATGGTGGATGTTGAGCAAATGATTTTGAAAAGGTCAGTTACGAAAATTCCCTAAGCTCTCTTGTTATTCTGCGAACAGTGTCTGGTCTTTTAAATTCCAGAGGGAATGATAGTCTTTCATTCACTCAACAAACATTTCCTGAGCACCTACTATGTGCCCTGTGCTGGGAGCTCATCGATGGATGATGCAGACTGGAGCCCTGCCCTCATGGGACTCAGTCCAGCAGGGAGACTGAGATCAAAGCAGATTCTCCAGGTAACTCATTAATTACAAATGCTAAATGCTTCGAAGGGAAAGTAGAAGGGGGCCTTGAGAGTATGTTAAGAGGGGGGAAGCTGGTCCAGTTTGGTGGAGGAAACATTACGCATTGTCTCCTGGAGAAGAGAAAGACAATGGCAAACATAAAGAATGTTCCAGGGGCACCTGGGTGGCTTAGTGGGTTAAAGCCTCTGTTTTCGGCTCAGGTCATGATCCCAGGGTCATGGGATCGAGCCCCACATTGGGCTCTCTGCTCAGCAGGGAGCCTGCTTCCCTTCCTCTCTCTCTGCCTGATTGTGATCTCTGTTTGTCAAATAAATAAAATCTTTTAAAAAAAAAAAGAAAGAAAGAAAGAAAGAATGTTCCAGGATCTAGGAAAGGGAAAAATCAACTGCAGGTCGATTTTTGATCTTGCTGAGATAGACAAGGCACAGTTCCTGTTCTGGGGACTTAGAACTGAGTGGGGGACATAGCTACATCCAAGAGGAACCGCAACATGGGAGAAGGTGATGCAAACACTAGGAAGCAATTAATTCTGAGTTTGGGGGAGCAACCTTGATGGGCCAATAATAATTATTATTGTTGTAATATTCAGCATTTACCATGTCCCAGATGCTCTTACTCTCCATGATCATCTCTCTCCATGGACACACCAATCAGTAAAGGTAGCTGCTGTCATTATCCCTACTACATAGATGAGAAAACCTCGATGACACTCAATAACTTGCCAAAGGTCACCCAGTAAGTAGACAGCACAGTGGGATTCATACAAGGTCTGGGGGTTCAAATTCCTGCTCTGATCCAGATGCTGGGCCCTTTCTCCTGGATAGAAAAACCATCCCACTCAGTGAGGATAGTTGCTTGGACCCTATATGTTGCCTCGTGACATCATCTATGTCTGTACCAGGTCATAGGCTGCTGTGTTGCTGATCTGAAGCCCAGAAAAGTTATGAGAAATGAAAGCAATTCATCTTCTGAGCCCTAGATGGGAAATTATCAAAGATGAGCCAGCAAAGTCTGAATGTTTCATTTTACAGTCATCTATGCTGAGCATGTGTGGGGCTTGGGAAAAGGCATAAGAACATTGCATTGACTTGGGGCCCCTGGGTGATTCAGTTGCTTAAGCAGCCGACTCTTGTGTTTCAGCTCAGGTCATGATCTCAGTGCCGTGGGCCTGAGCCCCACGTCCAGCTCTGCGCTCTGTGCACAGCCTTTGGATTCCCTCTCCTTCCAGCTCATGCATGAGCCCTCTCTCTCTCTCTCAAATAAATAAATAAAATCTTAAAAAAAAAAAAAAAAAAGGATGTTCCATTGACTGCTAAAAAGGAACTGTGAGCAGGGTTGGGGCAAATACCAGAAGATTCCTTCAATGCTTCCCTGTCCCTGCCTATAGTGCCTTCTGCTTTCTTCTCACGGTGCTTATCAGTTCGTAAGGGCATGTTGTTTACCAATGTGACTGTCTCCTTATGATATTGGTCTGCCCACTGGAGCTACACTGTCCAATACAGCAGCTGCTGGCACACGTGGCCACTAAGCACTTGAAATGGGACTATTCCAAATTCAGATGGGCTATGGGTGTAAAATATGGGATTTTTAAGTCTCAGGATGAAAAAAGGGTTGTAAAATACCTCAGTACTTTTTTAAAAAAGATTTTATTTATCTGAGAGAGAGAGAGAGAATGAGCAGGGGTGGAGGGAGGCAGGACAGAGGGAGAAGCAGGCTCTCTGCTGAGCAGGGAGCCCGACAGGGCGCTCAATCCCAGGACCCTGAGATCATGACCTAAGCCTAGGGCAGATGCTTAACAGACTGAGCCACCCAGGCAACCTATCTCAGTAACTTTTTATATTGATTTTATGTGAAATGATAACACTGTGGAATTACTGGGTTCAGTAAAATATATTATTAAAATTAAATTCACCTGTTTCTTTTTACTTTGTAATGTAGCTATTAGAAAAATTTAAATTACATATATGGCTTGCATTATATTTCTACTGGATAGTGTTGGTCTAAATCAAGGGTTGGGGTTGGCGAACTATGGTCCTTAGGCCAAATGTGGACCTTCATCTGTTTGTGTAAATAAAGTTTTCTTGGAATACAGTTGCAGCCATTCTTTTATTTATTGTCTATGGCTGCTTTCATGCTATAATGGCCTAGTTGCATAGTTGTGACAAAGACACTGGCTGTAAAATAAAAAATATGTGGGGGCACCTGGTTGGCTCAGTCAATAGAGCATGTGACTCTTGGTCTTGGAGTCATTGAGTTTGAGCCCCATGTTGGGGGTAGTGATTACTTAAAATAAGATAAAATAGGGGTGCCTGCGTGGTGAAGCATCTGACTCTTGGTTTTGGCTTGGTCATGATCTCAGAGTCATGAGATGGGGCTCTATGTTGGGCTCCGTGCTCAGCGGGGAGCCTGCTTGGGGGTTCTCTCCCTCTGCGCCTTCTCCCTGCTCACACATGCGTGCTCTCTCGTTGTCTAAAATAAATAAATAAATACATACATACATACATACATACATAAATAAGTCTTATAAAATAAAATAAAAAA